GGAAGACTGAATAAACAAGACAATTAACAAAGTTAAGAGTTACATAAGATTGCCAGAGAGCAGGATTAACAGAAGATATATGGAAATTGAAAGAAATGCCTAGAGATGAAATATGTTGGAGAAACAACCTAGCTTGTTTAACAATATTAAAGACAAGAGAACTAAGTATAAATATAAGAACAGAAAGTGACTTATGGTTAACATTTGGATGTGGTATCAGAATACAAGAGTTCTTAGAAACACGTCTGTGGAAAAGAAGCAGAACTAAGATAAGTGAAGCAGGCCTAATATATTTAAACCAGCTGCTCAACATGAAAGAAGAAAGACTAATCACATGGCAGCAGCTCAAGAACTACCAAAATCAATCAAGCAGAGGAAAAAAAGCAGAATGGTTTAAAGTGATAGAATTAAAGATGCTCGAAAGACCAGAAAATAGGAAAATTAAAAGTCAGTTTAAGACAGATGGACATAACACCCAGGCAATAAGAATAAAGTGGAATCAAGTATCAGAAGATAAGAGGAAAAAAGAATGAATAATATATGGTGCACAAAATGATAAACAATTAGGAAAGATAATTAAGAAGAAAAAAAGAGTTTCATGTATTAAATTGTTGAGTAATTGTAGTATGTCAGTTTCATTTTTTGAACAAAGAAATAAGTGAAGAGAGTCTTCAGTATGTGAGCATCGAGAGCAATTTGATGTAGTATATAGATGAGGATAACGAATATTGAGGTTTTGCATAGTAGGTAGGTTGTTAGTTAAAATTTTTGTACGGAAGAAGTATTTTTGTAAATTGTTTTCAAGTGAATTTATAATTTTGAAATTAAGGTCCCATTTAATGTTTGGTATATTTTGAAAGAATTTTAGAGCTGACCAATTTATCAGTTCATGAATAGTTGTAATGCTTTTAATAAAAGTACAGATTTTAAAAGGATTTAGATAATTATTCCAAGAGAAATAGTTTGGTAAATTGAATTTTGAGATATCCAGTTTGAGAATAGGTTTTTTTGTTTCATGTTTTGCAAGAGAATCAGCTTGATTATGAAATGAGTTGGTAGATTAATAGCTAATTAAAAGCTATTTATTAGTTTTTACACTTATCATTATTAAATTAAAATATAAAAATTTATATATTGTAGTTAAAATAAAAATTTAAAATATGTAAATTATATATAAAATTATACAAAGAATCTTTTTTGTTAGAAAGTCAAATATAGTTTATTTAATAAACTTTTTTTTCAATTACGATAAAATTGTCTAATAATAAATCTTAAATACTTAAACTTTAATACTTCTATTGCCAAGAGAACCTTTTTTTTTATTTATTAAATATTACAGTTATAAGTAATTAAGAGATAGCCACAAAGGCTACTCAAAATTTTAAATGAACAATCAATCCAAATGCAAGTTATTAATTAATGAATCCTATTTATATAAATTTATCGTTATTACATAATATATCTATTATTACTAATATGATATTGTGCTACCTGCACAAATTACTTTATTTGCATCTCTATAATCATTACACTAATTCAGTAGACATATCAGTATGTTTAAAAAAAAAAATGCTTAAACCCAATCTCAAAAAAACTTCTCTAAATGCATTTTAACTTAATTTTGAATATTTAAACTATTAAATTATATCAATATGTACATAAAATAACAATAGTCTTGTCATTTGTTATAGGTTTCGTCATTCATTATAGGTTTCATCATTCATCATAGGTTTTGTTATTCATCAATTCATCAATCAGAAATTGCTTGATGAATAGTTTCATCAGACATCAATGATGAATAATTTGTCATTCGTCAGGTATCATTGGTATAAAAACATTTGAATATAATTAAAAATTGAATTTAGAGTAATTCAATAGTAGTTTATTTTATATTTTATTTAGAATTATACTTTAAACTTATGTTAGAAAATTAGACAGTCATTGAAGCAACTGGTCATATACTAGTTTAGTCAAAATACAATAAATTAAATATAATATTTACCAATAAAGATTTTAACAAAATTAATACAATTTGCTTGTTAAGCTTTTAATATTATAAAACTAGATAACTGCATAATATTACGCAAACACAGAAACAAACAACCTAAAAAAAAAAACAAGCTAATTATTAGCTGATTGGCTAGACAAAATTATATATGAAAGTTTGTGTCTAAGTACTTTACTCTTCAACAAATTACTTTTTTTAAAATTGAGTTGGCCACTTACATATTGATATTATTAGGAATTTACATAATATCATAGTTCTAAATTAAGCAGTTAATTATGTATCTACATATATATCTGACCTTATGTGCTTGTCTTAAATAATCTGCATGCTCAATTAGAAGAAACATGGAACCCTTATGTCAAGTAAAAATTGACCTCTGACCTTAAAATTTCTGGTCCAGCACCAATAAAATCTCAAGATCTCTTGTAACAAAACAAACAATCAAAAAAATTTCTTAAATAGAGCCAAATTTTATTATACTAACCAACTTTTGACTTATAATTAAAAATGTTCAGCATTAAAATTTATGTACAGCACTTCTTCTTTTACATTAAATATAGATAGAATACTTGAAATACTCCAACTCATAGGCAGAAATCAAAAAAAAAAGAAAAAA